TGCAATATTCGAGACTTTATGCGCAACTTTGAGAATTTGAATTTCAAGACAAAAGGTTATTTCATTATTTTTTGAGAAAAATCTATTAACCCGAACACACTTAATAAAATGATCTTGTCAGCTTAAGGATAAGGGTTTATCCAGATGTACCGAAGGGGGGGGGTGACCGAATGGTGTCCCCCCCTCACAAATGCGGCGGGCCCCATGTTTTTAAGAAAATGCGGCTCTTGGTCTCCACTTCCAAATGTGAGTGGGGTGTAAAAGATTAAATAAAAAATTATGTACATATAGCATAATCCTAAGGATAATATAATGATGTTGTCAGCTTAAGGATAACTCGACAAAAACTATCTAAAAGTAGAAAGTATCAACCAATACATTTATGGTTGCCCGAAAATTGCCATGGAAGATATTGTGATTGGTGAAAGGTGGGTCTTACAAAGAAAATGTAAATCGAGTAACTATTGTGAAAATCTACATTAAGAAGTCAAAACTCTTTACGATCTCCATTTAATGCTATTTATGTATATTTTCCTAAGTGATTGTGGTGTATATGGGCCTACTCGTACTATCCAGCCGATACGGTCTACTGGGCCTTCAAAAGCTAGGGTTCGTCCTAAGCCAGGTATATAAAAATCCCACACCACCCATGACTTCCACTTCTTCAGCAAACAGAATTGCACTCCATAGCTTAACTTCGCCGCAGTAAAATGGTTTCTTCCCCTCTCCCTGCTCTCTCTCACATAAATATATGTGTTTGTATTTGTATCTATTACATATACAATTGCAGGTTCTAAAATCATAGATTTTGTTGATTTTGCAGGTGAAGTACTCCAGAGAGCCGGATAACCCTACCAAATGTATGTCGTTTTTCTTTCTTTAGGAAAATTTTTAGTTTGTGTAATATTTATTGTACGATGTTTTTTTTAATAATATATGTCTCACGGTTTTATTATTTCTATCGCAGCGTGCAAGGCCAGCGGTTCCAATCTCAGAGTTCATTTCAAGGTACTGACTTTAATTTCGTTTCTTTTCCTGTAGTTTACGTACCAATGATGTTAAAGTATTTTTTCTGTAATATTTTTGTGGATTTCGTAATGGGATTTTGGTGGTGTTGATTCTGATTTGCCAATGGTCAGAGAATGTTTATGGGATTGTGGGTTGGTGTCACTGTAACCTGATTGAAAAAGCAGGGATCTGTTGCCATCTGTGAACCGGTCTCTCGTAAACTTCAGGGACAAAAAAATTGCATTGTTATTGGGTGAAGCTCTTGAGTTTTCAATGACTGATGGTTCAGTAAACGATGCTACATTGCCATCTCTATCAGTTGGTTTACTTGAAATTTAAGATACTGCATCTTGAAAATATGTATTTGGTAGTTTAGTTTCTTCGTTTTCAATAGCTCCTCAAGTGTAGTGGGGGTTCTTACCCACAAAATAACAAGATGAACTTTGATTTCAATTTTATTCTTAAATCAAGGGATGACAAAGATAAAAGCTAACTGCATTTTTTCTATACCAAGTGAGGGTTTTCATTTTGAAATTTAAGATACTGCAATTTTCTCAAGATTAGGATTGTCTCGTTGATTTTTTTTTTGGCTTATCAAATACCGTTCTGGTCCTTTGGAATTATTTTGGATTATCTGAAGACTATTCAAATGCATTATCCATTGAGACCAACACCTTTCTATTTGTTAAGAAGTTTATAAATTTTCAATGGTAAAAGGTGGTGTATGTTTTTTGATTCTATGCCTGTTTAACTTGGTAACAAAAGCAGGGTTTCTATGCTTCTGTGGGGGATTGTCTTTCCTAAACTTCAATATCATCACTTAGGTACCTGGTTAAGAACTTTTAGCTAGACAATTGTATATTGCCGAAGTACCGTGAGTTTGTTTTGTATTGTGTAATAAGGCAGTTTTTCTTCTGCAATTATTGGATTATATTTGGTTGGTTGCTGTAACAATATTGTGTTCAGAAATTGCTATCTGATGCTTTACCCTCTGAAACATGGCGTCTCAAAGTCTTATACTTGCATAATCCTGGTTTGCTGGTTGTATTTTTTTTCAAATAATGTTTTATGCACTTTCCTAGAAAATTGATGTTCGATAAGGTTGATTCTGCATTATATGTTCCTACTTATAATCATTGCTTATTTTGTCAAATGCCTTATTTGGTCATTTTTCTTATGGTTTATGATTCGAAATGTCGCTCAGTTATTGATTGCCATTATGTTACATTCTGTTATCTTTATAGAACACAAGGGAGACTGCCCATGCCATCAGAAAGATGCCTCTTACCAAGGCTAAGAGGTATTTGGAGGATGTACTGATCCACAAACAAGCCATACCCTTCACTCGTTTCTGTCGAGGTGTTGGGCGAACTGCTCAGGCGAAGAACAGGCATTCGAACGGTCAGGGGCGCTGGCCCGTAAAATCTGCTAATTTCATTCTTGATTTATTGAAGAATGCTCAAAGTAATGCTGAGGTGAAAGGTTTGGATGTGGATGCCCTCTACATTTCTCACATTCAGGTGAACCAGGCCCAGAAGCAAAGGCGCCGGACGTACCGTGCTCATGGAAGAATAAACCGTATGTCAATATTAATTTCTCTTGTTTCCTTTCCCTGTTATTGATCTTTTAAACTTCTTATGACTGACATGACCCTAATATTGACAGCCTATATGGCATCACCATGCCACATTGAGTTGATTCTATCTGAGAAAGAAGAGCCTGTCAAAAAGGAGGTAAGTGCCATTCTTGTTATCAAGCCTCCATTTGGCAAGTTTATAAATTGGTCAAACTTCTATTTCAATCACATTCCAATAGACGAGCAGATACTATTCACTTATCCACCACCCTGTTTTTATTATTTATAAATTAAACTGTATATATTATTCTCGAGATGCTAAATATAATTTATAATGAATCAAAATTTGAACTTTATTGATATGATAACGCACAGTATGGGATATACTTTTTTCATACCTAATCAGAGTCCCTTTTCTTTTGGGCAGCCGGAATCTCAGTTGACAGCTAGCAAATCGAGGAAGGCTTGAGCTCGATGCTTGTTTTTAACTGCAGATATAGCGTTTTAGGAACTTTTGAATACCTTATTAAGCTGTGAACTTTGTATTTGGAGAAGATTTTTTCAACTTTTCACATTATCCTGGAGGTTATTGGGTCCCATCTACCTTGTATTAAATGCTCTAATTTGGTTTGGCTGCTGCTGGTTGGATCTTGATTTATATATTATGACTTTTGGGCTTTGAGAATTATGTTTCCATCATATTTGAAATCTAAATTCCATTCTAGCTACATTTTTTTTATCCGTTTTCACATCTAACGTGAATATAAATTCCAAGTCACCAGCTCGATCAGAGTTATAACTTCAACTTATTCTACCTTTTCAAGCATGGAAATGATTCAACGATGAATTATGGTGGTCTAGAAACAAATCAATACAATTGCGAGCATTGTTAGGGGTGCATCACCCCATACATAAGGGTCTACACCTCTCTCACATGAGGTCGAACCCGCTCGAATAAAAAAATATTATTTCAATGGGTCTCAACCACCATGTGAGGGAGGTGTAGACCCTTATGTACAATAGTTGATGTACATGTAGAAAATTTCTACAATTGCTTTTGTATGTGTGCTTCAGAAAGAAATATTAGTAAAGAAGATGATGAAATCGAATTACTATTATTTTGTAAGCTACGTGTTTGGCTACCATATATCAAGTGAAAATCAAGACAAGCAATATTCTCAATCTGAGCTTCAATGTGCAAAATTTCTAAGAGAGAAATTTGTAAAGCTTAAAAACACAAATTAGAAATTTGTAAAACTTAAAAACACAAATTTCAACTTACATTCAGCCTGTCAATTAGTGTTACAGCTTCAACAACAATCATACATCATTTCTTCCTCTTGACACGAAATGAGGTGAAAATTCGTTCATATTTGATTGGTACAGAACCATCGTTCAGCAGTAGGGTTAGGAAATTTGATAGTATTTACAATGGATGGTGCTCCACAATGCGTCCTGTTTATTCCTAGAACATGGTGTTATGCAGCATTTTGCCTACTGGTTTTCTTGTCTCATCGCCCTGATAATGGGATCTTCATCAAATATTTCATCATCATCTTCGTCAAGTTCATCCAACTCATCTAATAAAGACTGGTTCACCTTTTTGCGAGATAGTCTCCTGTGCTTCTTAGGCTCCAACCTTGGTTCTGCTTGCTTGACACCCATGTCTCCCATCTTAAACCTGAAACAAGATACAGTGGGCAAGAGAATCAAACACAAGTTCTTTTTCTTCTTTAGTAACTCGATCATTTCACTAAATCAATTAAAATATGAAATGCATTAAGAAACATCTCAAATTAATAGCACAAGTAAAACTTACATATTTTCAATGCTTTCTATCCGAATCTATATATTCATGGTAGCATTTATCCATGCAAATATATGGGTTACAAGGGAACCATATTTAGAGGATCATTTAGTTTCTTCAAATTTTTATGAAACATCATCCCATTGGGAGCTTGGTTCTTTTCCAATCTTCAAGATTTAATTCTAGAATTAGAAAAGTAGATATCAAGTTCATACGAGCATGCATAAAAATAAATAATTAAATACTCAAGCCGAACTCCAAGAATCTAGTAAGATAGTAATTAAGGAAAGTTAAACAATTTTAATTTGGATATACCTAACATCGCTCTCTCTCTTCGTTCCAAGAGTCCGCAATTGAAACTCCTCTCTGATTCGGATCTCGTCAAGAAGCTGAAGATAGTAAGGATATCTTTCCCAATCCGCTTGTACAAGGCACCCCGGTTCACCAACATGTAAGCAATCATTGAAGGAACACTTCCCAACTGCATTATTTTTTAGCATTTTCTGGATCTGAAGAGAGAATTAGTCAATTCTCCAGTTATATATCAGTAAACTTGAGCTTGAAATAATTACATGAAACAAATTTTAAGAAAAGAGATGTAGAGACTCAGCAACAGAAACCTCTGGAAAATGTTGTGCAAGGGATTGCTTTGTAACTTTCATCAAACTAGGCTGGCTAAATCCTGGAGTGTCAGCAAGATATCCCCCTTCAGACAATGGAAGCAATGAAACATGTCTAGTAGTGTGCTTTCCTCTTCCACTTCTCATTGAAACTTCTCCAACACGCTGCTCTTCAAACCACTTGCTACCTAGAATCTGAATAAGTGATTCAGAAGAAAACAGAAAAAGAGAAGTTCATCCATGATGTAGTAAATAATAGGCATGCTAAAGAAGAACGTAGACATTAATTTGAGAAAAGGTCAACCTACAGGTTCAAACCAATTATCATCTTCAGCAGCTCCAGGAACATGGTGATTGCCTCTTAAAGCATTGATCAAACTTGATTTACCAACACCACTTGGACCAACAATTACAGAGGTCTTGCCTCTAAGAATGAATTTCAGAGTATCAAGTCCCCGTTTAGTATCGACACTGCAGAGGACTGGTTCATAGCCCCAACTACGAAGCCGAGATTTCCACTCTACTAATATCTGCAAGAAGTTAATAATTTCATAAAAACGAAACAGGATGACAGCAATAGAACAAGGTATACATGAGACTTGAGAGAATATGAAACAACACAAAAAGGCATCCCCATATATGAGAACAGTGGTAAGACTCAAACGTACGAAAAAGTATCACCAAAGCATTAAGCACTAGTATTAGTATTAGCTTAACCATTTTCAGAATAGTGCATGCATGTCAAATGTGTAAACAAGTCATTGCATCGAACATTTGAAGTTGATTACTTATTAGCAAATAAAACAGCGATTTCACAGGTAAACCATATCCAATAAATATACTATATACCATCTCCAATACTACAAGCACCAGTAGTTGGGTCATTGTTTATTTGTGGTCAGTTGTAGTTGTAAACCTAACTTCATAATCAAACCCATCACTTCAAAAACAAATCATTAAATAACTAAGCTGAAGATTAATTAGCATATTGCAAACCAGGCATAGTTTTCAAAGAGTCAATATTAAAATTTCCAGGAACAGAGACTACTTAGGCAAGACCGCAATATTATGACTTAATATATACCTTCTTCAACATCATGCAACTGCGATTAGCTAATAAAAAAGATATTTTATATACTCTTCAGAAAATCACAAAAACGCTGATCAATAATTCAATTTTTGCACATTTCATGTAAATCTCAACAAAATCTAATCCAGTTTTAAGAAAATCACATTTCTGCATTTGAATTGAAACTCAAACTTAAATGAAGGAAAATAAAACATATTAAGGAACTTCATGAACACAAAATTATGACTTAATATATACCTTCTTCAACATCGTACAACTGTGATTAGCTAATATAAAAGACATTTTTTTCTGTTCTTCAGAAAATCACAGAACGATCAATAATTCAATTTTTTGCACATTTCAAGTAAATTTCTACAAAATCTAATCCAGTTTTGAGAGAAAATCACATTTCTGCATTCGAATTGAAACTCAAACTTAAATGAAGGAAAATAAAACATATTACGGAACTTCATGAAATAAGCACTCAGAAACTGTAATTTCTCATACGTGTTCATCAACAAGCTCTGCCTTATTCAATGCAAGAGTGAGCGGAAGTTCCGTAGATTCAGCCTCCAAAAGGAACCTAGTAAGTATAAACGGCTCAAGCTTTGGCTGCTCCACCGAGAAAAGGACTAACAAATGATCAACATTCGCCACTGGCGGATCCAAAATCTCGCTCTTCCGTTGAAATACATTATCAATCATTCCTCTCCTGTCCACCCAGTCAATTGACGACACCAACACCCTATCCCCTACCAGCACTCTCCTCTTTATCTTCTTCAATACGGCCTTCACCACACACAACAATTCCACACCAAATCTTTCCGAATTCTCTGTTCTAGCATCTTCTACCGGCAGCGAATTGACTATAACGCGCATAAAATTGGCCTGTGAGGCGGCAACAGTGCCAATAGCCTGATTTTCCTCGAGATTAGGCTTGTCTTTTTGTGCGAGGACCGGGGCAAGGGAGGAAAATTGTTTTTTGAATGTTTCGCGAGCCTTGAGGAGGTTTCTCCCAGGGTGCTGTTGAGACCTTCTCGAGACGTTCCCCGAGTTTTGCTCCTGCCGGCGGGCGGCGGCAGAAATGCAACGCCGGCTGCGGAAGACGGCTGCGGAAGTGAACAGAGGTATTTTGGGACGAACTATTGAAATACTAGTAGCGATTGTCATGGTAAATCCTTATCGAAATTGTGGAAAGAAATTGGGCAGAAATTATGAGTGCTATTTTAGAGAGAGATATGGAGATATAGATACAGTGATGCTTATGTAATTGTTGTATATGCAGTTATCTTTGTTTACTGTATGTTTCTTCAGTAGAGCGGGGTGGAGTTTCTTCCAGTGTGTTCTGCGTGTTGCGGTGAAGGAGAAAATTGAAAATGATAATGCCACGTCAGCCATTACAGAATTGGGCTTCGTTGGGCCATTTCCTTGGGCCCAATCCAAATCCAAACAAGGGCTTGATCCATCTCTAATAATTGAGCAATCAACAAGTTTAGGTAACTTCTAGACAGTATGGACAACTCGACATCAAAAGGAAGGACTTTCTTAGGAAAATGTAGGGTTGTCAATGGATTGAATTTTGATTAGAATCCGACGAAATTAATGGGAGATGGATTTATGGTCTCAGTCCGATAACCCGATCAA